CTTAAAGGTCTTTTCCAACCAAAGTGATTCTATGATTCTATGAAGGGATGATAATATCCAATAAAGAGCACTGAAGCATCAGCCAGTTGACCAGTGCTGCAGTTCTCCAGCAGTGTGGGTTATGTTTGCTTGTGATAAGGGGTATTTCCCCAAATCCCCTCTCCCAACCAAGCCATCCGCTCTCTGTTGCCCCACAGCCTGCTCCTCCCCTCTGACTCTGTGCAAATTATCCGAAGAAGTGTGTTTTCTGAAGGTTTATTTTGAGGAATGAGATTGCATGCCTGAAAGTGGGTTAGTTTGTTTAGAGTCTTATGTATGATAGTAAATGGCATGTGTGACTTTTTCGAACACCTTTGTCTAAGGTGTAGAAGGCTTTTGACAGAACTTACTTCGTTTCATTTCAAAAATACAGTTTAAAGTGGATGGTCCAGTGGCTAAGAAACAACTGTGGATATCCATATCTGGACTGTGATACTCATTTTTGTTTTCTTGAACTTAGAGGTATGCACTGTTTGTGGTTTGTGCAGCGAGGCTGTCTTCATTTTTTCGATGTGTCATGTAAGGAAGATCTTGTTTTACTCAACATGGCAAACTTCAGCTGGTAATAAGTGAGCTTGGGCTCTGTTAAACAGTTTGAGTTTTACTCAACGGCACAGGAGCAAGCAGGTCATAATCTGCAGAAATTATGTAAAACCACTTCTCTAATGCCTTAGTCATTTTTCTGACTCCGTTTAGCTTCAAAGGTAGCTCTGTATGTAGGCTGTGGACCATTTGGCCCAGTACCAGCCATAAGAAGCACAAAGCTGTCAGCACATTGACTTCATACTTTTGCCAAGATCCATCAAAACACTGGGATAACTTTCTGTACATACTTCATAACCTCTTTCAGGCGTTTCCCTGGGTGTTGTCCGATGAGCATTACCAGATGTTATTACAAACAATCAAAAAGGTGTTTTACCACCTGTAACTCAACACCGAGGGTCAGCGTCCTAGAACCTGAGCATCTAGGATGTGGCAGTATAGAGGTTAAATGTGGGCTCTCCTAGATAGTGTCCTGATGAGTACTTTGTTACTGTTGATCATGAGGCCTACATTATTCAGCATGAGAGAGGGAGATGATAATTACTTGAATGAGTTGAACATTCAGTGTATATGTTTCTCAGAATTTGGTGAGAGAAGTGGAAAAGTGATTTTTCTGTTACCAGCAGTGAAGTATCCTTATTTCTGTGGCCGACTGGGAAGCAGAAAGGACCCATATATGGGCTGAAATTCTCCGAAGAATGTGAAATAAATAGATAGTTCGGAAGAAGGCTCCGCAGGGTCTCATGAGCACAGCAGTTTGGGAGGGAGAGGAGTCTATTTCCAGCACAAGAAATAGTTAGCACCGCAGGACTTGTTTATTTAGTGTGGAGAAAAGACTAAGAGGAGTAAGTTCTTAAAATAATAAATTCTCTCTTCATGAAACAGCATAGCAGTAAAATTGTGGTCATGGATTAAAGGCATTAATTTTCCAGTTCTTGGGAATTGGTGTTTGTTTTGGTGAAGTTTGGCTGGGGGGAAGGAGGGTGGCTTTTCTGGTTTGTGTTCAAACCCTCTTGTAGGTGCTGACCCAGGTGCACGGCATGCTGGGCAGCACGGCAGAAGCAGCCTGTGCCAACCCCTGGTTTGGCTGGTGGAGCGTTGTGGTTTAACCCCGGCTGGCAACTCAGCCCCACGCAGCCGCTCGCTCACTCCCCCCACAATGGGATGGGGGAGAGAATCAGAAGAGTAAAAGTGAGAAAACTCGTGGGTTGAGATAAAGACAGTTTAATAGGTAAAGCAAAAGCCGTGCATGCAAGCAAAGCAAAGCAAACCAAGGAATTCATTCACCACTTCCCATGGGCAGGCAGGTGCTCAGCCATCCCCAGGAAAGCAGGGCTCCATCATGCGTAACGGGCACTTGGGAAGACAAACGCCATCACTCCAAACATCCCCCCCCTTCCTTCTTCTTCCCCCAGCTTATATACTAAGCAAGACGTCCTATGGTCTGGGATATCCCTGTGGCCAGTTGGGGTCAGCTGTCCTGGCTGTGCGCCCTCCCAGCTTCTTGTGCACCTGGCAGAGCTGAGAAGTCCTTGGCCAGACTAAGCACTACCCAGCAACAACTAAACCATCAGTGTGTTAGCAACATTCTTCTAATACTAAACCCAAAACACAGCACTATACCAGCGACTAGGAAGAAAATTAACTGTCCCAGCTGAAACCAGGACACGGAGGTAGTCAGAGGTGGGCACCATACAACTGACTCCTCCTGAGAGCTATTGAAACCGTGTCTGCCTCCTGCCAGGTTGGCAGGCATGGGAAGCAAGAAGGAGGTGATGGCGTGGGGCCATTAGGCACAGAGCCGGCTCTGTTCAGGAGTTACTCCCAGGCTTAGAGGTTGGCTGCAAAACTGCAGGTTGCCCATTTTGCTCCTTTCCCGTGGCCATGGAAATCTGGGACTTTCTGGGGTGAGATGTTTGACCCTTGTGCTCTGAAACCTGAAAGTGTTACTGAACGCAGTGGCTGTACTCCAGATGTGTTTTGCTTGGAGCAGCTGGGAGGGAAGACAGCAGTCTGAATAGAGCAAAGACAGTAGTCAGGCAGGACACTGACTGTCGGAAGGCGTGCAGCAGTAGCCCAGTAGAGAGTTTCCCAGGGACTAGACTTGGAAATGCTAAGAAAACTGGAAGAAGACCAGATTTTTCCAGTACATATGTTGTCAGGCCCTAGGGAAGTCTTCATGCAGACTGGACACAAGTGCCCTGAACAGCACTAACGTCCTTGAGAGCATTTCAGGCAAAGGGAGGGGAAATGAGGTCTCTCCTACTCGCCTGTCTCACGTACCATGTGCGGTCATTGTGAACAGATCATTGACCTTCTTTGGCAAGGTCCCTCTGAGGACAATCCAGGTTTCCCTTCCTGTCACTTTCTAGAAACTGTACCCCCAATTGTAAGGGGGAACTGCCACTTTTGTAGGTCTTGGAGAGGCTTAAACCAGCCCTGATGACTTCCTGTGGTAGTAGCTGTAATTTCTGAAAGAATAATTATATTTGCCTTGTTGCATGTGTTGTAATAGTTGTGGGTGGGTGGAGAATAAGGACATCCAACAGGAATTAAGAAAATGAATGTGCTTTCAAAATTTTCCCCATGCATTTTTTTTTTGTCTTTTTAAATTAAAGTTTTTAGACAAAGTAGTCAAAGGTGTTTCTGTAGGAATGTCTGTGTTAATAACTTTTAAAATTTATTTTTCATATCTAGATTATCGACAAGGAAATTAATCCCTTTGTGGACAAGTGGGAAGAAGAAGGACAGTTCCCAGCTCATAAAGTATTTAAAACCCTGGGGCAGGCTGGATTCCTTGGTGTGGATAAGCCAACAGGTAGGAGAGCATGTAACTCCTGAGTGTTGATGTTGATGGTGATAGACTCATTACATTATCTCAAATTGGTTTTGCCCCAGATCAAAACAGGTTTGGAATTCACTGCAAAATTTACTTATAATCCTCAGTCACAGACGTGCTGGTTACCAACTGTGTAAATACAGAAAATGATGTTGCTGACTACTCAAGCTGGTATTCTCCTAAATATAAATGTTAAAAACCTGCGTGACTGTTATTTTAAAGTCAGTGAAATTAACGTCACTTTGATTTTCAACACGCAATCTGTACAATGACTTCTCTTCTGGATCCAGACACATAGGGAATAATCTCAATCTTCATTAAAGAAACTACAATTTGAAGGCATTGAAAGTGTTGTAAGGTTTGGCCTATTATACTTCCTTAACCTGTACCTTCTACATCATTGTAATGTGTTCTGTCTTGCTATTCAGAGGAGGTTTCGGTGGGTTTTAGGCCATTATAGCCTAGACTGTCTTTAAAATGCACTATTCAAGCCCACAGAAGCATGTACAGAACAAGAAGCTGATGATACATGCAGCAAGGACAAGGGTGAGATTCATGTGTGCATATATATGTTGGTGAGGAAAAAAGTCAAGAAGTCCAGAGGAATAGGAGGTATTTCTGCTCTTCAGCTAAAATACATATTCCCCCCTTTTTTTTTGTTTGTATGCAATGTAATATGTACTTGTTTTCTTTTCAAACGCTACTGTTACGTGTTCCTGTCAGAATTCTCTAGGGTTTTCCCCCCCCATTTTCTTATTTGTAGTTAAAAAAGTTTAAAACAAAAGTAGGTTTGCGTAGGCAAGCCTTTGGCAGTCATGGTGAATTCCGAGCAGCCCGAAGTGACAACGTTTGGACAGTTAACTGCAGGTAATCATCTCTAAGGAGCAGCTCACACAGCCTCAGCTACACCACGCCACATCATTATGCTGCTAAGGGACAGGGCTTGAACTGTGGAACAAATTATGTCTTTTTACCACTTACTTTCAGAGGAAATTTTTCCTCTTGAAATGAACTTTCATATTCTTACACATTCTGATGTGGAAGGGTTTTTCTGTAGCTGTTCGAGCTTGCAGAACTGCTTAGCTGTGATTGTCTGACAAATCCAATTAGGTCTGAGCTGGTATTTCTTTACAAAAATGCTGACAGTTTGAGATTATACTTAAGATCTATTTAAAGGACAAATAGGATTACTGGAGGAGGGAGAAAACCACCTCTACCTTCTGCTATAATTATTTGATAGGCAGATTTGAAATCTGTCTCAGTGGGGTCTCCTTCACACTGCTAATATTCACGTTGGTCGTAAAAACGTTGCGTTGCATTGCTGCCCCATTACAGCCCTGTCTTCTTGTTACAGGCATCTCAGGGCATGCGGAGGCCTCGGCTGGGGTAAGGAACCTCAGTGCTGAGCATGCTGTGCATAAAATATTGCAAAGGTGGGAACTTGGTATAATGCTCACAAAATAGCTAGGACAAGAAATAACATGAGTGAAATCTGGTGAAGAAGGGACGTGTGGAGGCAAAGATGGGCAAAGGTTGCATGCACTGACTATGCCTGTTATACTCAAGATTAAGAATATTTTAGCCTTGGCTTTGACACTTTTATCTAGTCGTTAATCTAATTTGTTGGGCATCTGCAGCAGCATTTTATAAAAGCTATAAAAAACTGGATAAAATCCGCAGTGACACATGGTCCATCTCAGTTCATCTTCGGGAGCCAAGGTATTGTTGTGTAAAGAAAATCCATCAGCTCCCTGTAAGATGCTGCCTCTGCAGCATTCAGTTGCGCAATAGAACATCACCAGACCCAGCTTTGCTGTGTAGTGGCATAATACTACCAGGCACATCCCAAAAGTACCGCAACTTTCTCGTGGTGATAAGCCAAACAGTCAGGTGTGTAACAGCGCAGTCTCAACAGCAGGACTTTGGCAACGCCTGAAATTCTTCGTCCTTCGACAAAGTGCTTATGCTTGCTGTGATTGTGATTAGTGTGTGCTGGTAGTAGTAATTAAAAAAAAAACCCAAAACCCAAGAGACACACCTTTTATACTCTGCTCAGCCACTTCTATTATTTAACTGCTGTGTGCAGAGGAAGAGAGATCTTAAGAGATTTGAGGGAGCCAAGAGCGGCTGGGAGTTTGGGGGGATGTCGGGAGAGGTCTGGAGAAGAGAAATTAATTGATTTGAGGAGAGCATTCACGACGTGGAGCTGTGTGAGTAACAACCTGCCCTACTTTCTCTTCCCAGCACAAACCAAAATTATGATTATCATGTTGTGTCCCTTCAAACCCAGATCATAAAGCGTTCTGTTTAAAGAAGACTGTATTTTTCAAGTTAATTCACTCCAGTAGCAACTGCAGTTTTGAAATGTAAGTTTTTTAAATTTTATTTTCCAGGGGCATTCTGTTGAGTACAGTTTTTTCCCCCTGCAGAGTTAATTTTGAAGCTTTCTGATTGGGCAGAAATGGGTCACAAACTTGTTTTGCTTAGATAGAAGGAAACATCTGTTGGATTTCAGATTTGTTGAAACTGGCCTTTTTCCTGTGTAAACACCATTCCCTTTATGAACAATGAGCTGCTTAGTGGGAGTCAGGTTTTTAAAAGAACATGCCTTACATGTGTCCCTTTATCTTTGGAAACTTTCTCTGTGTGGATAACTGATTTGGGGCACTATTTGTATTGCAAAGGCTCCATCAATGCCCACCACGTGCAGCTGTGGGCTACAAACTTGTCAGGATTTTCCCTGTGTATTTTTTCACAGTTGTTTATGCTTGTAGTGAATATTGGCTGTAGTACAGTGCTTCAAGGTGTTAGTGGGAGGGACCTTGTAAACACTGTGGGCAAGGCCCAGCCATGTACCTGGAGAAGATGATCGGTGGATTTAACTTACTACACTCACTGGTCAGTCCTCTGCCAGAGAAGGTTTTTTCTTTTGAACTTTTTCTCTGCTCTGGTGTTCTTTACATGACTCAAAAATAGTGCATACACTGGTTTTCCCTGGAAAAAAGTGCACGTTGCTCTGTTATATTAGGAAATTCTTCCCACTAGTAAAATACATGCTGAAAAAGTGAACATTATTTATGCATAATAAGTGTTTCTTTGCTCTATGCAAAATGTGTTTTATGGAATCTCCCAGTTCAGCCTGAAGTATTCAGTTTGAGGGGAAAAAACCCTTACATCTCTATATACTTACTGCTCTTCATTTATGTTTACTGTGTATTTCTCCTCAATTTATAAAGTTTCTGGGTTACTGAGGTACTGACAGTCCCAAAACTAAGGGCAGAAAATATTAGGGTAGGCAGCAAAAATATTTTAAACAGTCTTGGGAGCTGGCTGTTGTCTGTTTTGCTAAGGGAAGTGGGCAAGACGTATTCTTTGGAGTTCTTTGTGCACAGATTGGATGAAATATTGGAGTAAAAGCTGAGAAGATCTATGCCGTCATTTGTGATCTTACGGTTGACGAGTCAGAGTCGGGGCTGTTGCTAAATTTTAGGATGTGTTGCCAAAGACACGGGCTCAAAATGTACTGTTCATGTGCTTCCGTATGCTGACACAGATGGTTAAAAGTTGTTTCTATCAGCTGATGCAAAAGCACAGGGATCCTTTAAAGGCTCAGGGAAAGCAAAGAGGAGGGGAGAGAAAGGTCTGTAAGAGGGCAGTGGCTGCTGTCCTGCGTATTCACACAGCGTCACCATGAGACATGAGCGATAATGATGCCCACGCTGGGTATTCCATTAGTGTTTTCACTGGCAGTCCTGTAGGAATATTTAGCGGAATGAATTAGCATGTCGAAAAAATTATGACAGGTATGTCCAAATAGTAGCCTTCCTTTACTCCTGTCAAACACTTAGCAGTCCAGTTGCAGAAATAATGTTCTTAAATAAAAGTGGAAAATCGGGAAACTATGTGGTGAGACCTATACATGGATGGGAGAGTACAGTTCTGCAGTATCTCCTTCCCCTACTGCTGGGATATATGCTGGATATGGGACTGGAGAAAGTAATAAGCAGTATGTTCTTGTCACTCGAGAAAGATAAGCATCTGATGAAACAAAGTAAGTGTTTCGAATGATTCATTGCGGTGCAATTGGAAAATGATGCAATATCTTCCCTTAAGAAAGCCTGTTTATTGCAAGTGTCTATGTTGAATGTGGGAATATAGATCTAGACTATCCTCTAAGGTTAATTTTGTTGTTTTCTTCACAAGTATACATTTCTCTGCTAAGATGAGACCTTATGAGAGTTTGGTAGTGGAGAGTCACTTGGCAAGGGTGTGTGTGGGGTTAATTCTCTTTCTTTTTTTCTTTTTCCTTTTCTGTTGTACTAAGCCTAATTATTATATGGAATGAGCAAAAGAAGGACGTGGGAGGAGCAGTGAATTCTGTCACTAGAAAGGGACTTCGTAGTTCAGGTGAAACAGGGTTTTACGGCCTTTAAGAGAATAACTGAAACAAAACTTTTTCAGGTGTATCTATGGATAGAAACTAAAAGGTATATATTTTTCAGAAGAGAATTCATTTGCCCCAAACCATTTCCGTAAGGCAGGAGTGGACCTGCTGCAATGCTCGTGCTCGGTTTAGTAGATTTAAGCATAGCCAGCCAAACTAATCATTTGATCTCTTTCTTGCTTACAAAGGAGTGCAGTAGTAGTTAATCATAGTTGTGCTCTATAAGTTTGAGAGAGAAGCTGTTGCGCCATGTTTTCAGGTACCAATGAGCCGGTAAATCAGCGCTCTGGACTGTTTATCAGCTATGAGATATATCTGGTTTGCAATCAAGAAATAATCTTGATAAGCCTCTAAAAAACAATTGACCAAAATTAGTCACTGCTTTATTTGAATGAAATTGCCGACAAAGTGATGGATGGCAGTGGTTTGAAGACCTTGATCAGATAAGTATAAGAAATTTCAGGTGCTTATCTGACCTTCCTAATTTGGTGGATTGGATTGAAATCTGAGGAAAACATGTTTTTGTATGTGTAGA